AAAGAGTGCAATAACACTTTAGGTTGACTTCAAATGCTGTTAATTTTGTTGTAGCCTTTCTCTGTCAGTCTAAAGTTATCCAGGATACCACCATGGATCATATCTTCATGAGTGGCCTTACCTTATCACTGGAAGAAAGGTCAAGATTGCTGTAACTATACATATATGGTTCTATTATTAAATCTCTATGATTGGTCATTTTTAGCAAACATTTCCATCTGGAATTAGAACTCACTCTTGTTTTCTGGTACCCTAGAGATTTGGGGGCCAAAAAGCCTATTTGAATACTGAGAAAAAGTTGTTTTCCAAAAATGTCCACCACAGAAGCAGGCTCGTGCAGTCTTAACCTTACTGCAGTGCTTTTATGAGGCATTACCAAATACCCAACAGACAGAAAGTACATTTATGAGGCTGCTCCAGCCACCTAGCTTTTCTTCAGAATTGACGGTAGATCAGCAGGCAGCCATTTTCTTCCATTAAAACTATACTTAAAATCAGCTGGAGTGGGGATACCCCAGCAAACAGTGTGTGGGGTAGCCGCAAATAAACTGGTGCAGTTGGATAGTGAGGGACCCTAAATACAGAGCAGCCTTGCAGGGCCCTGTGGAAAAAATGTTCCTGCTATTCATGACAGGCTAAGAGGGGGCTATTTCAGATTTTTGACAAGACATGCAGTTGCCCCTACCAGGCATAACTCATAACACAGACAAATCTGATTTAATTCCAGAAAGTGTAGCAAGATGGTTAATTTTATACTTGAACGGATGGTATCTTCCCTAACTCCTCTTATATCAGAATGGACTGAGAAAAAAGATGTGCTAAATGGATGGTAGGAATCCTCTCCAAATCTAATGCAATCAAATTTAAGTTGCTTGCAACTCTCAACTAAGAATTTTTGTCCACATGGTTGGGCAGTGCCATGACATTCCTGAGGAACAAAAGTGGATCTTGGGCAGTTTTGACACAGATCTTTTCAGACAGTTGGGACTGAAGTCAATCATTCTAGGCTGAGTGTCCTGGGTGCCCACACAGCACACAGAACAACTATAGGTAAGTCATTTCAGTTGAAATTCCAGATTTCTCAAATGCCTGAATTTTGATTGAGACACCAAATAACTAGTGGATAGAACAAATAAATCTTGTTATTTTCAATCAAGTAAATATTATTCAAGTCATAACTTTGGCTACAAGAGTAAATTCTGATTTTAAGTATGAGTTTAATACTGTTCCAGAATTGTTAAGCTGAGCTTTTTTCCATCTCTTAAGAAAGGGCAGTGAATCTATAGAACGTGTTTTAAAAGAAAGCATCTTCTCTATTATACATTCCCATTTGTAAGAAATAAAACTGAATAACGCAGTAGAGTTGCTTAAAGCATGTCTAATGTAAAGTCGCCAATAGAATTTAGTGTTTTAATCCATTTAATTTTCTGATGCAATTCTACATGTGATTTAAATATTTAGTGCTACCAGGTTTTAGACCATCTGTCAAGGTGAACAAAGCTTTGCTGTTCAAAATTGAAAGTCTAAAGATGAAACGCTCCAAGTTATTTAATTAGTGACACTGCTCTTCAGAATCTATCTTGAAAAGTCAACCTATTGAATACAGAATAAAAATGTATAAAACACAGAGGTAATGGGTCCAACAGTCCTATTTTGAAAGCGAATGGGATAAATATGCCAGGGCAAAGCAGCCAGGACTTGTATCATAAAGGCAAAATCAAATATGGCCTCTACATGTTTTCAATGCTGTATGGCCTAGAATGGTCTTCTATTCCATACCAAACATTCAAATCCATGTGCCTAATACATCATTTTCTGTTGTGCCCTGGTGAGTAAGCACCACAATGTCAGAATTCTGCATTGGAAGAAGCCAACAAAATTCTTTCTCTGCCTTCAAGGCAGGATCTTCTACTTAACTCTCATCACCTTAATTTGTTATCAGAGAAATAAAAGCAGCACTGCATAAAGAAAGGACGTATATGTGCAATGTGACCTCTGAAAAGCAGCACTAGATTAATATTTCCTTCTTCGGGTATAACATTCAGTAGGTGACTGAAAGCAAGTTCAATTAGGCTAGCAGGGTTGATGCAAGTTAATCCAGGTTGGGATCTTTTCGGGAACATAAAAAGATACATAAATTGTGCAGTCACTTAAAAGTCCCCAACTTACCTATGGAAAAGCTCCTTCAGAGTCAGCCACTTGCCTGGTTTGGGAATGTTTTAAAGCTCAGAAAGCAGCACCCAGGCCCCAATTATGCTAGTTTTTAGGATTTCAGTTCTTTCATTCAAGTAATCCTCAAAAACCTTGTAATTATTTTATCAGTAATTATTTGGGTTATATTAAAGATCTTTTCAATTATTTAATGAAATAAGGGCCATAAAGAGTCTTATGAAGTCTTAAAGGAAAAACAAAACAAAACCAAATAAAAAAGATTGTATAAGCTTCTGTGGTTTAGAATTCGTTATGCAAATGAAAAGGGATACTCCAATTGTAAGTTCATAGTCCGTCAAGCTTAAACTGTATCTGTTGGAGAGCATCTCATAAGGTGGATTCAAGTTCACAAATAAGCTCCGTGGTCTTTATAGTGTCACACAACTGAGAAAATGCAGGTCTTCTCTTCTGGGCAGTTGATTCAAGGGAAGAGTTACAGCTTGCAGTTGGAGAAGCCAGCTGGACTAGTTCATATATTATGTGCAGAACTGACCAACTGTAGAACCATGAACAAAGGCAATCAATATTCTGCCTCAGCAGCTTCTGGCGGAACAAGGCGAAGTATTGCTAACTCCAACCCAGCCCCCCGATTTCTGTGGTCAAGTTTCTGCAACCTCCTGGTCAAACCTCCATTCAGGCTCCTTCTACTTTAGGTGTGCATTAACATCTGATCCTTAGAACATAACCATCTGATCCAGGAACCAGATGTGACCCTTTCAAATGGCCTACTTGCTTTCAGTTAACTATGGCCAGAATGCATGTGAGGTTTTCTTCCTAGAAAACAAAAGCCAGATTTCTTCATTCTGGCAGTCCCCAGCCTACATACACCTGACAACAAATAGACATTCTGCTGCTGAGACATTTCCTAGACCTTAGGACAGGTCCTGGCAAAACCCACAGGTGCCTTTCTCTCCTCTGTGCACAAGTGTGCTGGCCTCAGAGACAGAAGGCCATGAGTTCTGTTAACTTACTGGGACAAAAACTCTTGGGAAAACAACAGAGATCCTTGGAAGGTTCAGGTGAAAACTTTAAAGTGCAAGGTGACTATTATATTCAATAAAGTAGTATAAAAAAGCAAGGCTACTTCACCAAAGAAACATTTAGAAATGTTTAGAAAAAGCATCTTTCTAAAATTCTTAGAAATCTGAGAATATCTAAGGGTGTGTTTTTTAAACTTTTTCTCAAGAATTGGAAATATTAATCAGTCCATGTCAAACATTTCTAGCAACATATGTCTACTCAGAAGTAAGTCTCACTGAATTTAATTAGATTTATCTCTGTGGTAAACTAAAAACCATAGCCTCAATGAGCAGGGAAAGAATGAAATTTGTGAAGAGTTAAGTCAAATCACAGGCATGTAGGTATAAACCATCCGTAGAAATAATGGCCTTTAAAAAGGAATTAAAAGATTGCAATCTACTTTCCAGGGACACGCAACATACTCCCTGTAGTGTATATTTAAACTGCTAACATTTGGAAATGAAACTTTTCTCCCTGCTGATTATGGCTACTGCTAACAGTGTTTCGTATTAGTAAGAGACGGCAACTTCAGGTGGTTTACAAACTGCTTAAGGATATGATGACCACTTTCTGGAAGATAGATCCAAGGGATCAATGTTCACAGAGGAAACAGCGTTCTTGCTTTCTAACAGTGCAGTCAGGAAGGGATGGAAATTTGCTTTCTATCCCTACCTGAGAGCCAAATGCCAAATTTGAACAGCCAAGAACTTCACGCCAATTCATTCTGTGACAGACAGCAAGTGGAAATGTTTGCCCTGTCTTAAGGCTGCCCTGCTGCCAAATTGCAGGCAACTAATTCCCACTGCACTTGGCATCAATATCAAGCAAGCTGCATCTCTCCTGCCAGGTGTTGCTTCTATCAAGTGAGAATAAGCTTTAATTCGTAAGATTTTACACTGCATATGTTGCTCTATATCAACTCCAAAGAAAGCAGGTTGCCTTCGCAATTATTGTTTGGAAATCAGCCACACAGGAGACACACTCACTTCCCTGTCTTAGGTGGCTCTCTGGCAAAGACCAGTGTAAAAAGGATGAGGGTACATTTAACACCAGCCAAACTAAAAGGTGAAACTGGATTCTGCAGAATCCTGCAGTCACAACTGGTCATTTTAAAGTAGTCCTTCCCCTTCAACTGATTAAATTTGTTTTTCATCTGAATCTGTAGCTTCAATAGATATATAACTACATTACTATTGGTAGAATGTAGTAGATGAACAATCACTGCCTGGAGGAACATTTCTCAAACTGGCAGGTGCCTACTAAGAGTCTTGTGGTTAAATTCCATGAAAGCTACAAGATTTACTTCTGAGTAAACATGTACATGCCTGCCTGCACTGGCTGTTTGCTTGCTAAAAAGGATAGTTGTCAAATAGAAATTTAGGAAGTGTTTAAACTTCAGATTTCTTGTTATTTGTGATCTGCTCAACTTACACATTCTGAGCTTTCTCAGAGCGGTCAAGGGTGAAAAGAGCTGTTTTAATTTTGAATTAAGCAGGTTGAACAGAAAAAAATTACATATCTCATCCTCCCTGATCCTGTACTCTCACTCTGTCTTGCAGACTCCATGGATTGAGCATGCCTTGAACGAGGGCACAGTGGCCTTCTACCAACTCTGCAGTCTCAACCTTTGTCCAGATGCAAGGTCTTCTCCTTCCCTTTTCTTAGACCAGAGGCAAACCCGGAAGGCCCCCAATGAACAAAACTCCAGAAAGGCTCCAGGTGGGCCCTAGGATGAATGGTGCTTACCTGCCCCCCTACTGACCAAGTGTTTTCACACATGGGACAGGGGAACCTGTTTGTGGTAAGAAGCAGAAGTGGCAAGCCCAGTCCGGCCCGTCAGTGCTATGTTGGCTTCACTGTACATGGTGGCGCTCACGGGCTTCCCTCCCCTGCAGCATCGACCTGTGAACTGCTTCCAAGACTCCAGTGTCTTGCCTGACCAAATCCAGACCCCAGAGGTGATGCCCACCACCAGGCACATGAAGTACTTGAGCATAAAAACAGCATAGTCAGGCTTCGGTCTGGACTTGTCCCCAGGGCAAGAGCAATTCTGAGCCATCTCCCATCTCTCCCTGTAGTGCTGCTCGTAGATGTAGCAAGCCACCACAATGGTGGCTGGGACAGTGTAAAGAACAGTGAAGATCCCGATACGAATCATCAGCTTCTCCAGCTTGTCCGTCTTTGTGCCCCCTTGTTTAATCACATTCCGAATTCGGAAGAGGGATACAAAACCAGCCAGCAGAAACATGGTCCCGGTGAAGAGGTACACCACCAGCGGAGCGAGGACAAAACCCCGCAGCTTGTCCACGTTCTGATTACCCACATAGCAGATCCCAGCTACTGGGTCCCCATCGACTGAGCTCAGGGCCAAAACAGTAATAGACTTTACACTTGGAAGAAGCCAGGCTGCCATGTGAAAATACTGCGAGTAGCTAGCAATGGCTTCATTCCCCCACTTCATCCCAGCTGCCAGAAACCAGGTAAGAGACAAGATGACCCACCAGATGGAGCTTGCCATGCCAAAGAAATAGATCAAGAGGAACACCACAGTGCAGAGGGCAGGCCCTGTGGTTTCATAGTGTATGTGGTTGTAATCTTTGTTGCAGGCCACACTGGCATGGCCCACAATCAGCCGGATGATGTAGCCAATGGATACAAAGAGATAGCAGGCTGATAAAAAGATGATGGGGCGCTCAGGGTACCTGAACCTTTCCATGTCAATCAGAAAGGTGGCCACTGTGGTGAAAGTGGAGATGAAACAAAGGACGGACCACAAGCCGATCCAGAAGGTAGCAAAGGTTTTTTCATCTTGGGTAAAATAGGGCTGGAAGCAAGGAATGGCGCAATTGCGCACCCGGCCGGTCTCGATCTTATTGTAGAGCGGGTGAGTTTCTTGGGAAATGAAGACTAAGGGCTCTTTGCAGGCGCATACTCTCTTGCAGTCACCACTGGTTAGGGGGCTGAGATTTTTGTGGATTCCTTTGGAAGAGCGGGTGGGCTTGGTAAACAATGGGGGCAAGGTTGTAGGCTCCGTCTGGTTGTGATCCATGCACAGCATCTCGGTGTCTCCTGGAACGGGCAGCTTATCACAGTTCATCCTTTCCGGCCAGGCAAAGCCGTACTGCCTCATCAAAGGAGAGCACCCAGCTTTGGCCCTCTCACACACTGACCGGCAGGGCGGCAGAGGCTTGGCGTAGTCCAGCAAGCAGATGGGCGTGTACATGCTGCACAGGAAAAATTTCAGATCCAGAGAGCACTGAATCTCCACCAGGGGCCAGAACTGGTGCACTTCCAGGCCAGCTTCGTCTTGGGTATCGTGGTTGAACTGGTTCGGCATGTAGGTCAGGTTGTAGCCAATGCCCTTGCACATGGGCACGGTGATCTCCTGGCAGACGACGGCCTTGGATGCAGCCGGAGCAGGAGCTGGAGCCTTCAGCAAGAACAGCAGAAGGCTCAGCAAGGTGTCTCTCAGGCCGGGGCGAAAGCCGGCCATGGCAAGGCGCAGCAGAGGGCGCGGATCAGGCCAGCCTCCTCCCGGGCGGCTCCTGCCTTCGCTTTAACCCCTCTGGCTGATTCCAAGGCGGGAGGCGCTGGGCTCACAGGTGGCGCGGTCCTGGAGAGCGTCCAAGGCCCTCCCGACCGGCCTTCTTCGCCCTCCCAAGGAGCCCGAGTCTTCCCATGGCAAGAGCTCTTGCTGCCAATTCCGCGGAGGAGTCGCCGCTCCAGCAAGACAGGTGCGCGCCTGCGATACAACCCGGCAAAACAAACAACAGGCGACCTCCATACCAAGCCAGCCTGGAGGGCCCGCTCCTTCGCTCTCCGCTGGAAAGTTCAGCGCAGAGAGCAAGGCTGGATCCCCGCTCACCGCAGCGGGAAAAGTTTCGGCTGAACTTCGCCCTCGGCAGAAGCCAGAAGTCCTTTCGGAAAGATCCCGCGCGGAGGAGAGCGGGCTGGGCTCTGGCCCGGCCGAGGCAGGAAGGGCAGCCGGCGCGCGTCCTCCTGCTCCGGCTCCTTTCGCGTTCCCGAGAGGAAACTTGGTCAGCGAGGCCCCGCGGCGTGGAGAAGGCGCGGACTCCCCATGCTTCAGTCGCACCCGGAGTTAAACCCCCGACGGGTTCCCGCCGCCTCCCGGCTCCGGGCTCGTGCTCCGTGAAGTTTCTCCGGGGCTCCCCACTGGCGGAGAAGGGGGCGTCCAAGCCGCGATCAGCGCCGCCCGTTCGCCTCAACGCACGGAGCCCGCGAAGCGCCACCGCGGCCGACTGCAGCTCCCAGCCGGAGCCACCTGCGCTCTAATGCCCTGCCTGCGAGACCGCCTCCCGGATCCGCCCACCCGGGGCCGCCCCCTCGCCTTCCCCGAGGGAGGAAGTTGCAGCCTAGGGACCTAGCCCCGGGCCAGAAGATGCGCCGAAGACTTCCGAGGCCGGCGGGGTAGATTGAACTCTTGAATTCGCAGCCACTGGAGGCTGGAGAGGCTCCGGCTGCGATGAAACGTTTCGAATAGCAAGTGAGTCCGTCCGGCACCTGATCGCCAGAACGAAGCCTCCCCGTGCAGAGAGAGTCGCTCAGCTGCGGAAGAGTTGAGCTGAGCTCTCCCTCCCACGACTGGAGGCCGGATTCTTTTCCGAATCCCGGTCGGCCACTTAGGCTAATTGAACCAAAGTGTGATTGCGATATTATAGCTTATTTTTATCTTTCAAGAGTAATTCGAGGACCTATAAAAACCCAATTAAACCGTATCACTGCACCTGTTAGAACAGCAATGGCCAGCTCTATGTTCTCAAAATTCACAGGCAGTTCCTTGTCCTGCTTCTTCCCTGAAAGTGCTGTTGGGGAGCTGCCCTGAGGTTTTCTGTCCACCCCGAGGGGTGGGGTGGGGTGGGGGGGTTGTCCTGCCTGGCTTTACATCCCCAGTACAGTCCCTTAAATCTCGTTAAGTCTCAGAGGCTCCCTAGTAATGTAAAATATGAACAAGTCCTTTCTATGTTGCCCTTAACCTATTGGCCATCATCTGTCCCACTGAATTAAAAGGAACTGAAAAAGCAACCGTATCTTTTCTCTTCCCTTTTTAAAAGTTTGCCTATATTTTCAGAAGATCTGCTAAATATGTGCACCTTTTATAGACTCTGGTTGATTTAAAGAACTTTCATGGTGGGCTGGTAGAAAAGGGTAAACATTCTGCATCACTCCTGGCACTGAAGCATCCAGTAACTTCAGTTAAAAGTGCCAGGGATGTGGCTTAGCTGCCACAGAACCTTTGGGGTGGAAGTGCAAAACCCCAAACCTCTCCCGAAACAGGTGATTCACCCTGAGGCAACCAGAGATGCATGGCCAGGATTTTGCTTTTTTAAACAGCGTAATACATGAGATATATAATTACATTTGTACAATTATGTGTAACCAATTTTCAAGTTCTAAAAATGGCCCCTTAAGCAGAAAGCACCCTTCCCTCACTTGATGCCTTCTATCACTCAAATAATTCATAGTCAGAAGGACCAAATGTGGGATAGGGTCATGGTGGTTATACTTCTTTGCTTAAGGGATTGTTTAAAATTTTACTCATCATAAAAATTATAATGTATTTGTATACATTTGTATAATGTAATTATAATATAATGGGCTCTACCATCTCTGCTATTAAGACAATACTTAGTCCAGACTACCTTCCTTCCTTCACCAGCAATATTGAAATTTTAATATAAGCATTTCACCTGTTGCATTAATTCCACAAAATATGTTGGTTGTAAGACAGACTTCTTCAGGCTGGTACTTTCCAAATATGTTGTGCTACAATGGTCACCATGCATGCTTGCTGGGGATAATGAGAATTATAGTTCAATATATCTGGAGATCATGAGCATAAAGGCCAGTTCAACATTTTTCAAGAAGATTCTCCTCTGGTTGCCATTTAGCCAATGACTTGATGGTACCAAAAAACAACAACCCTCACCTGATGCTGACTTTTTCAAGTCTACTTCTCTCCTCCATGGTATTTCTGATTTCCAAATGGCTAGATTTTGCAAAGTACTTTTACTGAGGATAATGGAATCATCTCATTTTCTCACCCCAAAGGAACATGACAAAGGCTGAGCAGATTTCTGCATTCTGTACATTCTGTACTATGACTCCCAAGCAGGAGGAAATGCCCATGTTAATTTGCCCCTGGTTGGTAAGCAGCTGGAGAAACTTAAGTTTACATTACTTTGCTTTTCATAACCACCTTTGGAAACTTGTCTAAAAGCCACAAGGGAAACATCAAGTCAATAGAACAGAAAAATGAAGAGACTATATAACCTTTCAGTGTGCATCTTAGTTCTTCATTGTCTATGCCAAGAATGGAAGCGCTCTCCCAAAATCCGAGATAGGTGAACATAGGAGGTATAATAGAATGCATAATGTATAATGTTGATACAACCAGAATATTACAATTGTAAAATTGAAGCTGTAATACAAAATGAAGAAAATGTATAATAAAACTTTATTTTTTAAAAAAAGAATACAAGAATGAACACTGTACAAGAAAAAAAATCCCACAAAACATTCTCTAGTCTTAACAATATATTAATACAGTAAGCACCAATATAAATAAAAATATCCAGTGTAGTCTTCCTAAGTGTCAGGTTGGAGAGTCTAAGTAATGATTTTCAGAACACACTGCTATGTACAGTAATTGGAAATAATTTACTCATACTGCAATTCTATATTCAGAAATAATAAGCATATTTCAGAAGCATGTATGTTATACATCATAAGACAACTAAATATGGTATGAAAGGGGAAAGTTCAGAGGGAGACAGCCAGGAAATGAATAAGATTTAAGGTAATAACATGTTGGATGTATATTTTGTGTATATTCGTAGATATTGTACTCTCAAATTGCAAATGGAGACATGGGTACTCTATTTTTCTTATCTTCATTTTTAAGTGCTTTGGTTTTGTTGTATTGCAAACAGTTGCTGCAGTGCATCCACAGTTTCGTTGTACTTGTACAATGACAATAAAGTTCTTCTAATCTAATTCTAATATATGGCAAATGTTGAGGTTCTCTAGGCATGGAGCGTAAGCCTTTCATTTCTTGAAATTTTATGGACTTAACAGGCTTTCAAATACTCTCCCATATGGACTAGAAACCTATGGCTTACAACCCAAACACATTCTTGGACAATAAAGCAGCCACATGCTATGCTTTTTCTGAATTAACTACGGTAAATATTTACAGTTCCTTGAGTGGAGAAAAGGTTAGCAAAATGCTGATCTTGAAGTTACCATCAAGTTTATTTTGTTGTACTTAGCTTGAGCAGTAGGGAATTAATATTCAAAAAAATCTTGTGGTCTGCACTCAGTACTACATATACCGGTAATACTGTACACCATATTGCACAACAGGGTGGAACACAGGTTGATTTACATCCCCCCAACTTGAGTGCCTTTGGGATGTGATTTTTCCAGAAGTCTAATGAAAACGTTATCAAAACTGTGGTAGGTATTTTATTGATTGCATTATATTGACATGTGTTTCCTCACTGATTCCTAATATCTCCTACTTTTAATTCATTAATTCTAAAAAATAATAATTCAGTTGAACTCAACTTCTGGCTGCAATCTGAAAGTGATAAACCATTGCTTTCATCCAATGTTTGTTTGTTTGTTTTTTTATTTTCCAGGCTAACCTACAGACCTATTGCTTTCCTGGTGGCCTCCCAGCCCAGGATTAACCATGTCTGTCCCCATTTAGCTTTCAGGATAAGCCAAGGTTGGCCAGTTGCTGCCATCTGCTATATTTGTCTAAACAAAATGTCTCTTTCCTTACAAGGCACTTCTGTATACAGCAGAGAGAATCAGTCTGTGACCTACTTCAGGCCATGGAGTTCAAAGTATCAGAAATGTTTGGAGCTTGACCTTTCTGCACTAAGGGATAAACAGCTCCCCTAAACAAAATTGATGATGCATGTCACAATTTTGGCAACTTCATAGTTTACTTAGAGACATCATTGGTGCAGGCTTTTTTATCTGAATAATATAGGTTTTAAGTATTGAAAGAAAAACAGTATTAAATTATATCCATACCATTTTCCAGAAAGCTACATGAATCTGATTTGATTCCAGGAAGTCTTTTTTTCCAGTTAGGAATTTGACTCTTCTTGATACAGTGAAATGTGTAATAAAAGAATCACTTGTTATTCATATTTTTAATTACTGAATTTTATTCATTATCAGATTAAAATGATGCTTTATGGAAAATGGAAAGTCTTCCTTATACTTTTTGACAAACCTGTGCATTAAGGTGGTATTGAGATCCCACCCACTATTAGTCTTGAACTTTTCTCCTGCACTTTTGGATTATCAGATTTCAATTATTTTAAAACGTTGACAGTATGTGTACATGCATGTATATTTGATTAAGCACAGTTTCTCTAACAATGTAAACTGACATCTCATTTGAGAAACAGCCATGATAAATTATGTTGGGTCAAGGGAAGCCACCCAGTATTGTTGAGGAAATATCTCTGTTATAGACTCTGAATCAGTGAACTACATGAGGACACATGAATAACTTCTCCCA